ATACGGAGTTTCACAGCATAATCATACATATGAAAACTGTGGAATCAGACATGGATTCTTCGGAGAATACACATACACATACACACGATACAACAATGCCCACACGCATGTATACACCAGATCCGAATGGTTTTGGTGATCGAGGTAGCGGCGGTGATGGTTACAATTCTCTAGGCTCGCATTTATACCCTTTACCCCGTTCACTCAACCACAATTCCCTCCTCGCATACCTACACATGCATAGGTACACACTTGATTAAAAATTGACTTATATACTTATTTTTCTCACCCCAACTCCTATTCTTCTCTTTAGCCCAACCCAACCCACACCGATGATGACTTCAAATCATTTACGGATAGCTGCTTTCCAGATTCAGAAAAAAAAGAATGGAAAACAAAATGAAATGAAAAAACATGTATACTGCACACTCGAGCACACGCGCGCGCGCGCGAACGCATACGTGAATGATCGTGACGAAGAGAGAGACAGAGAAAGAGAGAGAGAGAGAGAGAGAGAGAGCGGGACAGTGAAATTTGTCAGTGACGACACTAAACTTAGTGTGTCAGTGCATGTGCGCGTGCGTGCGTGCGTGTGTGTGTGTGCGTACGTACGTAGAAGGTCTCAATCTTGCTCATGACAACTTGCAACTATTTCATTGTGAATTCAACATTCACATTCATAACCGAGTTTCGAATAGTGTGTGTTTGTGTGCGTATGCTCCGTACTGTTCTGTTTCTCAGTAGCGGGATGGTGATGTATTTTATTAGATTATACGATGTATCTCGTGGTACTCGAAGCCCAGTAAATCAAAGACATATTGAAAAGCTTGGAAACGCTGTTTAGCCATTTGTTTTTTTATTAAGATCCGTTCTCTGGACTAGGAACCTAGTCCACACTCTCAAAGGTAGAACACAGGCACGCTATTCATCTGAACAGCAGCCAGCTAATCGGATTGCTTTGTCAAAGAAGAAATAGCATAATTCATGTTGTTGCGTTCAGCCACTTTTTTCCTCCTCGAATTAGCCTCTAGGGTTTTGATTCGGTTAGAAACAGTCCCAATCTGCCTAGTTCTTTCAAGGTAGTATTGCAGATTTGAGTCTTTGAGATGGTGAATTCCGTAGTTTGCAGAGTAAGGGAAACGGTAATCCTTATGTGCTCATGTGATACTCTGTAAAGACCTGGAGGGTGGACTCTCACAAATGTCAATGCACTCGCACTGCCATTGAGGGCCAATAACGTCAGAGCCACTACGAAGATATTTCTAGCAGTGCAATACCGAACTCTGTGCTTCACGTACGCATCAATTCACCAAATCCTTATTTGACAGGATTTGGCTAGTCTCAAAGAACCGATCCCCAGTTTACCACTTTCCCTCCGAATATATGGAAAATAACGTCATTGAGGACACATTGACTAGCTGGAGTGGATATCGCACATTTTATAATTACGGATAACATTCAAAGTGCCTGGGCAGATGGCACAAAATTCACATCCCGCACTAATGATTCGTCCCTGGATAATTCAGCCTAACCATTCACATAGGGTTGCACGCATGTACGCATTCAACGGAGAGCTAGTTGAATACAGAATGATCAGCGACAACAGGGTGCAACCTCCCTCGCAAAGACACTCGAATGCATTTTGATGAACATCGCTGCGAACGAGAAATCTAATTCCCTCATCTGCTTCCCAATGTCTGTACACATTTGAATAACAGCAATACAAGCGAGATTGGTCCGCCCGTTACATTCAAAGATGTGTCTCTTATTGGAAGCTTCGTGTGTTTGGTTGGAAAGATGATTTGAGTTGAAATAGCAAATAGTCCCACGAATCTAGCACAAAAGCCGGGCCAATCGTGAGCAAGCAAAAAGGCATCCACATACAATATCGGGAACGCGTTCAGTTCACACGTGGGACAGTCTGCATCTCTCAGAATGAGCCAACCTAGATAGAAAAGGAACACGAATCGAGCAAATAACGCCCGACCGTCTGAACCGGTCTGAGATTGGCAAAACGCACACAAAATATAGCACCACAGATGTCGATGTTTCGCCGTATCGCAAAACACATGAGAAAAAAACACAAACTGCTCTCCTCGTAGTCCGCGATACGAAAAAGGCGGGAGATTGATTCTCTCAGGTTATGGCCAAGGATTAACTAAGTGATAGGCTGTGTCGAAATTCTCCAAAACCGCAATAATTTACAGACCTATAGTATCAAGCTTGGATTAGCCCATTCGATTGTTCAGAGGCACCAGGCACTCTGGATGGTCTTCGGTGTGGGTTTCACTCATTGGGAGATCGTTAATTCCCCACTGTTTGTTTGCATTTAAATGCGATGGAAATGGTTGTGATAACCAACAAAAAGCATTGGACAGCTGTTTCGTCCTGTTTGGGACTCGTCAACAGCGCGTACGTTTTGTGTCTCTCTCAAGACTCAGGGGTAAGTGCTGGAAGTCCCGAACCGACTGATCGCGATCCGAGTCCTGACAGGGACACAAAAGTACGCACTGCTGACGAGTCCCAAACAGGACGAAACAGTTGTCCAGTGCTCTTTTTCGGTTATCACAAATATTTCCATCGGATTTACAAACCTATTCCAATGCCATAAAACATACTCAGAGGTGAAGTTCTTCATGCGAGCGATGCTGAAATTTCATCAATTCGCGGCTAAGAAACGATGCGGAATTTCGGATAATTCCCGACAGTGCAAAGTATGACCATAAAACACTGACACTAAGATTAGAGCTCACTTATTTCGAGCGCGAATTTTAATAAATTTCAAGCTAGGCGGACGTTGGAAGATAAAGTGAGTAGTGGATGAAATGCATGATGACGCGGCTGTAATGCTTCATGCAACAAGAGCAAATAGCTCACTGGAATCATATCACGGCAAATCTGCTTCGAATGCGATCATACTGAATAGCGTATAACCAGAATGGGTGCACTAATCAGGAATGCGTATTAAAATGCGGTCTCATAAGCATGTTGGTGACTATCGATTGTGGACATTCCGAAATCTTGCGAGTGCATCGTGCCCATAGATTCCAAGAAGCAATGATCTACTACGTGTACGGTCGAACGCAGGCTTTTAACAAACGTGGGAACAGCGCTGAATCAAACCGACCAGAGACACTTAGGCAAGTGGATACGATTCAGAGTTGAGAACAACACCCTCGCCCGTGGGATCGGATAGCACGAATCAATATGGTACGTGGAGAACGAAGTCAACAGGATCACACAGTAGAGCAGGAACGAGACCTGATATTGAACGGGTTCCGAGGATCTCCTCGACCGAGTGTGATTCTCCGAATTCCCCGATTGTAGAATATTTCGTGATTCACACGGTCGTATAGATTACGTCCAACTGATCACATTGGTGAGCCGTTTTCAATCACTGCTCTCACATCAGAACTCCACTATAGAGAGACACACGACCACGTTCATCAGGTATTACTAACATTGCCCACTGAAGGAAACACCCAAACTGACTTCTCCCATCGGATGTTCAAAAGTGTTCTCCATGTTTCGGGTTGCACGCAAAGATAAAATCACAATGTTTTGGTGAATCGCGTATGATTGACAACGTGACTCGTTATTTCCGGAAGATAAATGCACGAAGAAATTCAAAGTAGCAGTATTTGAATGGAAAGTGATAAAAACCCCTGAGTGACGTGTGTACATTTTGAACATTTCATGTCAGTTATCACTGTTCCAACCAGGTCATATCATGGCTGAACCAAATTGATAATTCATGTTTGTTCAAATTTTATCTTTAGTAATAGTCAGTTCATTTTGGCCGGACGTTAACGAAGGAAGACAAATGTGACATACTGGTAACTCCAATCGAAAGCCTAACACGAATTCAGGACTTGCATGAAGATGCGGACTGATTCGCCAATGAATCTACAAGCGGGATTGATGTTTAGCATTTGACCCATAATCACTTGTGCGTAGTGGTGTGGGATAATTGATTTCCATGCTATGGTTCCGGAGTTCCAATCCCGGACTGAACGGTGTATATACAATACTGATGGGCTGCAATAGGAGCGAAAATCGAGTCTGGTGCTTTCGAGTGTATGGTTGAATCAATGAACTGAGGAATGTGCGTCACGGTGAATTCCAAAGGATTGT